GACGCATCTAGTGATTTTAAAAAGATTGGCCAGCGCATCTTTGTTTTTATTATTGGTGGAGCCACTCGGTCTGAGGTGATCTTCTTCAATTTTATAGCTCACTTCTACTACATTATTTTATTCTAATCATTGAAATGACTTCTACAGCTTCGTGTAGTGCATAAACTCTCTTCTAAGCTCAATAGGGAAATTATCCTTGGTTCAACTAGTCTCGATGATCCCGCGCAGTTTATTACGGTGAGTTCAGGAACTTATTTTAAAATTTTATGTGCTAGAGAAAATTTTTTTGACTGGTAATTGCTTTTTCTGTCTAAGTGTAATTATTTTCCCAGTATATGTAACTGTGCAATTGTATGATTGTTATGCCACATGAGGCTTGTATGATGCTAGTGCAAAACTTGCTGTGTATGGGTCCTCCATGTTTAGATCTTTTTGCCTCAGTTGCTCGCTCTTATCTGATTAGTTATATGCTACTTTATTTCGTATTTCCTTGTCAGTCTAGGTTTTCATGTCTTGTTCTCTTTCTTTCCATGATTTTTTCATTTCAAGTTAGATTAGGGGTGTAAACAAGTCGAGTTGAGTCGAGTTTTAGGTCTTATCGAGCTCGGCTCCTCGGTTGGAAAGCGAACTCGAACTCGAGCTCGTCCCGTTGTAAACGAGCTCGAGTCGGCTCGCGACCCATGAGCGGGAATTTTAAAATTTAGGCTGGATTTTTAAAACTTAGTCAAAATTTAGAAAAAAAGATGAAATGCTTAACATTTAAATAAAATTTAGGTGGTTATTATTATTATTATTTAAATCTTTAAATTTAATAAATAAAATAAAATTATTTAAAAAATATTAATATTTATTCCAGCCAGCTCGCGAGCCGAGCCGGCTCAAGCTCGAACTCGAGCTTTTTTACTAAACTAGCTTGAACTCGAGCTCAAGCTCGACTTATGAGATACTGTAAACACTTTAGCGTATGAAAAATTCTGTTTATTGTTTTCTGTCCTTTGTTTTATAATTTCATCAGCATTAGAATATTGGAATTTTATGTATTGGGAAGAATATGGCTAATTGTTTCATCCATGAATGTGTTTAACTGCAGAAACTGAAGTTGCTCTCTGCTGAAGATATATCACTGGATGGCCTTCAGATATAACTCTCGTCTCTCCTGTGTCAGTAATCATCCTGTTTTTTAGATTCTTTTATCTTTCCCTAAAATTAAGAATCTTGTTCAGATTTATAGTATCAGGAAGTAAGTAGTTTCCATGAGCAACACATTTTTAAGGAATTAAATAGTAAATAGTTACATGTACAATGAATTATGGCATTATCTATAAACAGTTTAGTTTCCAGGTATATGGGCCATGGGGATTGAAATGGAGAGTATGGCTGAGAAAATTTTACCTGCAATGTACTTTATAGGTTTTTAAATACCACATTATATATGCCATGCTTTAAATTTTCTTAATTGCATTTTCCACATAGGAAACGGTTATATATCTGCATTCCATATTATTTTTTTCCTTTTGTTTTGCTTTGTAGATTGTTTCTTTCTTTGAGGGCTAATCCCCCAAATAGTGTTGATCATTCCATATACTGTATATGTTCATCTTCTTATCAAATTTAATTAATCTATCAGTTTTCTATTACTTCTTAGATCAAATATGATAATAATTGTATGTAAATTTAGTCGAACTTAAATAATTTATCGGTCTTTTCGGAGAAATCTGATAAAATTGGAACGATACAAAGAAGATTAGCATGGCCCCGGCGCAAGGATGCAATGCATAAATCGAGAAATGGTTCAAATTTTTATGTATTCGGGTATGTAAATTTAGTCGAACTTAGATGATTTGATCCAGAAGTATTACCTATTAGATCAAATCTGCCGTGTACTATATTTTATTTTTTAAAAAAACTGATTAATGAAAAAAAAAAATATATTAATCTTAAGCAAGCTTTCTCCCCTTATAGCCTTTATAACCTCTGTATAATTCATTTGTTCTTAACCAATCAAAGGGAATGAATGGCTTTGTGGAGCTGGTGGTTGGAACCTTGGGAGATAAATGACTCTGAATGCTTGTCAGACTAAGACTTCGTCTGGGATGGCTTTCTTACTGCTTCTTAAAGTAATTTCTTAGTACAAAAATTAATATTTTTATATTAAAAAGTTTCTTTAAGAAGCAGAATAAAAGTCGTCCCAAACGAAGCCTAAAGCTCACTTGGTAATCATTTCTGGGAGCTAATTTTTCTTTACATATTGCAATTTACATATTTGCAAAAACAAAGTAACAAAAATGTGAAATTGCATGTTTACCCCATGTTTTCAGTAACATATTTCGTTCAAAAACCAGTTTACAACACCACATAGCGACCTTACTTCATTGTTGAACTAACTGTTTTTTTCCCCCATTAACTGTCTTATATTAGAAGTAATGACAAACTAACTTTTGTATGGTACATAATTTGCTTCGTTTCTTATGCAGTAAATTTTCAATTCATTCAATGTGTAGTGTAAGGTTTTGTTTGTGATGATTTTCTTACTGTATTTTAAAGCAAATTTTTAGTACATAAAAATATTGAACTACAAATTTTTGTACTAAAAATTGCTTTTGAAAGCAGTAAGAAAACGGTTTCAAACGAAGACTAGCTTTGTTTGAGACAGTTTTCTTATTGCTTTCTAAAAACTAAAAAATTGTTTTGAGAAGCAGTAAGAAAGCCGTCCTAAACAAAGCCTTGGAACTGCTTTTTTCCTGCTTCTAAAAACAATTTTTAGTAAAAAATTAAGAAAACTGCTTTAAGAAGCAGTAAAAAAGTTGTCACAAATGAAGCCTAAATTTCTAGATCTTCCAAAAAATATCGCATTATTGATATTTGAATGAAGTAATTGCACGCTTACAGCAACAAGCTGTCTTGTTCTTCTCAAGCAATATTAAAACGAATGCCTGCAGGTCCACATTAGATACCCAGGAGGAATCATTCAGAGGAATAACATTGAAACTGTGTTGCAAAAAGCTATTTCTGAAAGCTGAAACTTTTAGAATGTTTTATTCGTTATCCGAACAGCATCATATTGTCCCTCTCAGTACGTTACTCTTTGTTTTATTTTCCTCCACGCTTCCAATCATTCCATTGGAAACCCCTTAACTTTTTTTCCTCAGGCTTCTCATATTTTGGTTCTGTGAAGCTTTTGAGGAACAAATTTATGAATGATTCATGATGCTACTATTTTGCTTTTATTATTATTTTTTTAATTTCTCATATGCTATTTTTTCTGTAATTTTTTAAATCTGAAAATTATGTTAGAAAAAAGTATGAGAAAGAATATACGCATAATATTCTTTTTTGTGTTAGAAAATTGAGTTTGATCGGAGACGAGTTACTGTATTTTAGAGTATTATTGCATTTTGGAGTGAAAATAGAGCTTTTCTGTTGGAGATGGCTTAAAGAAATCGAGTTGAGTCTAAGTATTTAACTAATTGAGCTAAGTTAAGCTTATTTTATTATTATTGAGCTCAAACTCAGCTTGTTTGAAATTTATTAGGTTTGAGTTTATTTGGAAAGCTTAAACTTGACTTAGAAGAATTAAAATATTTGGTATATATTTTATTATAGTATTTTAAAATTAATTTTCAAAATATATTCTAATTTAAATAAGCACCCATATATCCAATTATTAATTAAGATGGAAAATAAAGAAATTGCAAGATAAGTCGATGCAAATTATAAGAGGATGATTCTGAAAATAATTGATTTTTTTTTGAAGTGTTAGGATGGCGATTTTGTATTGCATAAATATTAAAAATAATTTTTTGTTCATTATGAAATCATAATTTATATTAGAATATAGTGAAAAAAACTTTTAT